GTATCTTGAGTAGACTTGAGCCACTGAAATTGAGCATTTCTCAGTGGCAATAAGAGTTAAAATGAAATGCTCAGCAGTAGCCAAGCAAAACCGCAGAGTCAGGGCAGCCCCACTGAATGGGCTTTCCTTGCTTTCAGCTCTTGAGAGGCAGGGAGAGGGCTCACCACTGAAAACACTGTAAAATAAACAGAAAATATTGGTAGCATGGGTAACTGCATAGGAACCTATTAGCTCTGGGGGCTGAGCTATCTCAGCTGAAAGTTTCCAGGGTCATGGAGGCTGATGTGAATCCCTCTGCTGTGGGCACAAGATACAACAAGCTTGTTCAGTGTCTGAGAAGAATAAGGCTTTGTCTCCACTCTGAAGAAACCCCACCACTCAAAACTGACAGAGTTCTCATTTCTCCTTAGAAAAAAGACCTGAGGGCTGGCAAATCTTGAATAATGATGGAGACTTCGCAACCTCTCTGGACAAGCTCTTCCAGTGCTCAGTCACCTGCACAGTAAAGAAGGTCTTCCTCATATTCAGATGGAACTTGCTGTGCATCAGTTTCTGCCCACTGCCACTTGTCCTATTGCTTTACACCACCAGGAAGAGCCTGGATCCATCCTCTTGGCACCCTCCCTCTAGATACTCACAGACATGAACGAGGTTCCCTGTCAGTTATCTTCTCTCCAGGCTAAAAACAAGATCCAGAACAGAGTTAGTGAGAAGGCAGTAAGGCCTTGCTATAGCTTGAGTAGTTTCCTTACTCTGTGAAGGCTGCAGTCATGGGATTTTTGATGTTAAAATCCGTTTTAATTCAAAGGTGATATTTGAGAAAATGTGTTTTTTAATGATACCAAGGCCTCTCTGTTTTAGCACTGGTTTATGTGCCAGTGAGGCTATAGGTTAGTGGAGAAAGAATATCGGCTGATGCTCATTACTGTAGTGCTACAGCTCATTTCTTACCACCTTCTATAACAAAGAAATGCAAAAAAAAACCCCTTAATCTGCTTTTTTCAAACTGTCAAAAAGCCATTCTTCCTGCTTTGTTTGGCTTTGTTTTTTGTGAAAGCCCAGAAGTATTTATTACCTCCAAAACATATCCTCAGAGAAAGGGAAGAAGTGTGCTGGTGGAATGGCTGTCCCGATGTGATCTGTGACACTTTCAGGCATCCTGGAGGAAGGGTGAAACAAGTTGAGGGCATCCTGTAGCCTGTCCTGGCCAGCAAAGAGAGAAACTGAGGCTGCTGATACATGCTGGATAACAACTGCCTGCCTCTGTATGGTTTAATTCAAACAAATTCAGAAATATGGGCCATGATAAGCTCAAAGGCACAAGGCCAGCCAGCACAAGGCTGAAGAACAGAGCTACAGCTGGACAGTAGACACAGTCCCCAGGGTGTGAACAAGAAGAATGGGCATCTTGGACACCCAGACAGGACAGGTATTTTCTCCAGGCAAGGATTTTTTCCTGTTGTCTTCTTAATGGACTTGAAAAGGACTGTAATAAAATAAAAATGGGACCAAGAAAGATAGGTGGAAGAAAAGAGATTAATTTAGAAGAAATAATATTTTTTTAGGGCATTTAGACAGTTCTGAGTACCAACTGGCTGAACCCAAATGATTTAATACTGTTTTTTCTCAGCATCATCTGATAAGGTCATGTGCAGCATTTCATTTGGCACTGGTAAAAAAATACACAGGTTCCAACAAGCTCATATTTTGCTCTGAAAATCAGCACCACAAACAGCTCTTGGTTTCTAGTTCTGTTCCTTTTGAGTCCATTATAACCATGATAAATGGTGCACAGCAATTTGTGTGAACCTGGACAGGGGAGGGGGTGACTCACAGCAATTTTATGCCACAATGCCATACATATCACAGCAACAGAACCAGATGAGTAATCTCAGATCTTGCCTTCAGGCAGCTTACTGGTTTATCTCACAGATCTCACTGCAACAAAATGTCAATGTTTTAATACCTTTGACATTTCTTTAGGTTCAAGAGACAATAATGAATCTTTCTTGGTTACTTACTAAGAGGAGATTATATCAGCAAAAGCAGCTAATTCGTCTTATCCAAAGAGACAATATTGGAAATAATCTCTTTTTTCACTAAATGTAAGAGTAACCAGCATTAAATAAGAGCCTTTTAATTAACTAAAGTCATCAAACAGCCCTCAAATAGATTTAGTTTCAAGCAGTGACTAAATAGACTTAATGCCTAGGAACCATCCAAGCACCTCAGGTGGATCCTGCCTTTTCTGTTCCTCCAGACATGTACGCCCAAGGAAAGGCTGCCTGTAATGCACAAGGCAGAACATGGCAGTGCTCAGGGATTGGTAAGCAAGTTTTACCACAGCTGATGCCTGCTGCCATAAGCTGGCACAGCTCTATTCAGCTTGTGGCCTGCACAGACACCTTCTAAGGAACAGTAACAGACAGAGCCTGGTGGAAATTAGCATATTTCATCAAGTTTCTGAAGGGTGAAGGTAGAGGACTAAGCTGCCAAGGAAAGCAAGATGATGCCTGTGATTTAGACCTGCTTGGAAAAGCTGATATGAAGTTTATATTATAAATAGCTATGGTGATGCAGATGCTCCTCACTTGTAAAAAGGTAGATGCTGCTCTGAACCCATAGAGATCTATAGGATAAAATACACATATCTAATATTTTTAGTGAAGGGTGATCTTGATCTTTGAAGATCCCTGTCAGGCAGCAATCTCACATGGTAGTTGCCATTCAGCATATATTCTCTGGCTCAGACAGGGCACCTACACCAGGGCTGTACAGATGGGTGCTTGCATGGAGATGTCCCACCTTATCAAGCAGATGCTTGGTTATGCAGCTGCTTCAGCATTTTCAGTTCAGGTAAGGAGATGTTTGATCACTTTCAACACCATGAGAGGATAAAATGCACTTTGAAATTGCTCTGCTCAAGACATCAGGAAGAACACTGGCATTTTCAAATTGATTTTCAGGTTTTGCAGTCCAACAAAAGGCTTTTTGCGGAAGCTGGCCAGTGAAGTCCCAGGGACAAAACAATGGAGCTGTGCTATCACAGAGCTGTGCTATAAACCAGAGGTAGCACTGAGTTGATGTGTATGATATATTGTGATATATGCTCCTTCTGGATCTTCCAGTTGAGTCAGTATTTGTTTGAAATGAAGAAGGATTCACAGCAAAGACATTTTCTGAAAATCTGAGAAGTGCAAAGCAATAGGAGCATGACAAGCAAAGGACTCAGCAACCTCTCTGGATGTAGTAAGATCAACAGGATACATCCTCAGAGTCACCACAGCTGTACCACTGAACAGCTTCTCAGCTTGTGAGAGGTGCTGCTTCACACTGGCAAAGCTCTGTCAGATCCCTGCCCAGGATTAGGTTCTTAGCTAGCTGCCTTAGCTCTGCGTGGGAGGCTCGGCGAGGTTTCACGCATGTCCCATATGCTGCTCTTCCTCTGTAACCACTCAGGTCTGCGAATCTGCCTGAAAACAAAGTGAACAGCAGCCCTTGTCCTGCTAAGGACTGCCTGTTTCCATTCAGATGCCATGTTTCTGCATGAAGCATCTCTGCTGTGGCTGCTTTGAGAAAGTTTTCTCTGGTCCTATTAATTTTTTCTCTATTCATCATCATTGTGAGCTAAATAGTCAACAGCTATCTTGGAGGGAAGAGGGATTCTCACAGCAGACAGGACTTAGAGCTCCTAAATTAGGAAAGGAGAGAGGTGCATTGGTAGCACTCTGTATCTCCTGAAGTGTCATCTTCCCTTTCTGGTACTCACAAGCTTAGCCGAATAGAAGTGCATGGTACTATTTTGTCTGCTTTGCCTTCTGCAAAGTAGGTAGGCTTCTTTTAATGTGGTTTACTTCCAAATTCACAAAGAAAAAAAAAAAAAAGAAAAAAAAAAAACAGCAAAAAAGAAAGTGTGTTTTCTGCATGACATGACATTTTTTTCTACAGCATCTTCTGAGATATCAGGAAAATTGTGAGAAGAAAAATTTTCCTTTTAAGTTTTTTCACTATTGCTTATGGTCAGAAAATGTAACACTTGGGAAGTAAAAATGTAGGCTTTCTAAGTTTTTTGTTAAAATACAAGTGAGACTGTTCACTGCAAGCTAAAATATGAGCATGAATGAGTCTTCTCTCAAAGATAATTTTAATTACAATGTGATTCCCTGCAAGGAAAAAAATGTTTTTGCTGTTCTTTTATAAGGGATTCAAATAGAAAAATAAATTACATTTTGTATCACTTTCCCTTTAAGGTGATTGAATAGGGGGATGTTTTTAATTATGACAAAAAATCTCCATGTTAATAGTCTTGATTAAAGGGGCTTTTAAATAGCTTATCTGCCTGGCTACATTCCATCCTAAAGCTCTGCATAGGAAAATGCCTTTCATGTTGAATTTAAATGCTTATTATCCCTTTGAACTCTGCCAGTCCACTCATTTGAAATATTATTCTTCCCTTCCAGCCTGTGGAGTCAGCTCACCAAGAGATCTTGGTAATGTCATTCTCTGGGGAGCTGTGCTGGTTAAATTGAACCTTAAGGTAGCAGCTGGGGCTGGTATTTCAGAGCTTGCTGTGACCTGCTGCTACATTTCAGGGCCAGCCCTACAGCAGGGACTTGCAAAGTCTTTATGGATACATCACCTGGAAAAATGAAGCCTTCATCTCACCTGTGAGCCTCCTGTGGCAGTAACCACTGATAGGTAATGAATAGAGGTCTCAGTTAAAGGCTGCTTTACCCCTGTGGTACCCTCTGAGCAGAAATCCGTGGGAGGAGAAAGGGAGGCAAGATGGGCAGGTCCCTGAAAAACCACGCTTAGATGTGAATAATATCTGGAGAAGAGATTTTCTATAAAGCCTCCCACTCTTTTTCCCACTGATAACTACTGTAAATGTTGTCTTCACTTTCTGCTTTCTTCTGCCACATGCTGAAAGCAGAGCAGTGTGCAGTGCAGCTGGAGTCACTGTACATGGCTGCATCCAGAAACGCTTTCCTTTTACTCACCTGCAGCACAGTTCAGGCACCTGACAAGGTCAGGTTAGGTGAGCATTCTTCTCCCCTGAAGGATACACAGCTGTACAAATAGGGACTGCAGGTGCTTGCATGTGTTAGGAAAAGCAATGACTCTGCTCATGGATAAGGAATGACACAGTTCCCTGTGGGCAATCGCTTCACTGCTGCCCGGTCATGGAGGTTTGAAGAACTAATCTGTAAAAAGAGACTGATGTAAGCAGATGGGAACCACAGTTCCAGAGCACACAAAGCCAAAGGTTTGATCCCCTGCACAGCCCCTGAATGGCCATCCTATTTGCTCCTCCTGGTAAGTGGAGAAGTGAAAGCACTTCATAAATGGATCAAAATACTCATGCTCTTGTTCGTGCAAGCATCAAAGGTTTCACTGTAGGTTTCTTATACTGGAAGGGCATGCATTTTGTTATTTCTGCTGGCCAAGCACACCTGATGAGCTGGAGCTGGCAGATGTGTGCTGCTGCCTGTCATGGCTGTGCACACACAGAGGAAGTTCTTCTGTCTGCAAAGGTTCAGTGGAAGCGGGTGGGTTTCCAGGGGAAGAGCAGCCAGGACTGAAGAGGAAAGTTTGGGGTAAGAGAAGGGGCTGAGGGTTTGCATCTGTTCAGGCTCTCTGCCAGCCCCTTCTTGGGTCAAACCCTCCCAGTATGGGACAGATAGAAGGAAAACAGCACGAGGAAATGAGGCTCCTGATGATAGGGAACAACCACAGAAGAAAAGGGAAAGTGATGTGAGCATCAATGGTTTAAACAAGGATCAAGGAAGAACAAATGTTTATTTTTGCAGTTGTGCCTACATGCTTGTTAAGCTAGTGCTTGTTGACACAGTTTGCATTGTCTCTGTGAGCATCCCTCAGTCCCATGGCCAGCTGTCTTGCTAAATGTTTTACATGAAATACCTGTAATAGTATTCCCGTGTGGAATGGGGCAGAATGACTCTATTAAAACAACAGTGCTGTGGAAGAGCTGGAAGAGCTCCATTTCCCCTCAAAGATGAAATGTTCCCTTATGAGAAACGCAAAATACTGCTGGGTCTTTTCTTTAATCAGAAAAGTAAAGTAAAATAGTCTTCTACTAGGAAATTGTGACTTAGCTGTAGTTCTGAAGGTCAATTTTATAAGCACAGGGATGCGACTGGAAGGATGTGTGCAAGTCTTTAAAAGTAAGTGGTTAAATATGCTTTTGACAGTTGTCCCCAAAGCAGAGCGCAAATAGAAAAGAGAAGATAAAAATAAACATTGCTCAACCCTTTCATTCATTACAGGCTGTCAAACAGGACAGGTGCTGTGGAAAAACCCATGTGTGACTGTGTCATTAGAAGCTGAGTCATCATGCGAGGGCAGGGAGAGGGGTGGAGGGGCTGGGGTGACTGCGGCACCCTTAACTTAACATGGACTGATCTTTAGAGAACAGCTGGTCAGAAGCAGGAGCTTCTTGTGCTTTGAGAACTTTCTTCAAACTGAGAATCAAAAGTAAAACTTTCCCATGGATAAACACTAAGCAAAGTATCCAAATCCCCTTTTCTGATGCTGTTAAACTCTTTTTGGCACACAAAATAAATATGAATACAACAAGCAACAGTATGATGCTGTAAGTTTGAACAAAAGTATAGAAACAAAGAAGAACTCTGATTCCCAAAAAATATTAGAAAGCTATAGCCTTAGCTATAGCTATAGCTATAGTTCTTGACTTTTACTTTGGGTAAAAGTATATTAATACCTCATTACGAAGGAGAGTTCTGATGAGTTTGAGGTTTTTTCTTTGTGTTGTTTTGGCGAATGTGAATGCTTCTAAATATAGTTCAACTAAATACTGAGACATTTCATGAGAAGAAGCATGGTTTACTATGGATGGAAAAAGCTGTGCTGTTCTGCAATCCCTAGTGCCACACACCATTAACTCTATCCTTGAGGGATGCCCAGAGCTGGGACTATGGCAGCATCCGGTCCTGCCTGACAGTTAGCATTTTGCCTGGAGCCTGCACAATTAAATCACGTCACCTCCTCAGACAATTGCACACTCTATCCACCTGCAATTTCTTCCTTCAGCATGTGGCCAGGGCACAAAAGGCCTAAGGGAGTGGAAAAACTAATTTCTCATGGTCCAAACGGATGCTCAGAGGGCAGATTTAAACTGTCTATATCACACAGTAAATACAGTTTAACTGCTCTTTCTATGTTTGGGTTCAGGGTTTGTGCTCATCAACTCTAACGGAGAAAAATGTTGTTGTCCCAGTGTGGCCTGAGCTTGGTAAAACTGTTGGGCTCAACTCAGCAACACTGTGACTGCCTGAGAGGAGTGGCAAGAAAGCCTCTGCTTAGTGCTCTTTTGCTCTTCACTGCTACATTTTTGGGTGGTTGACATATGTGACTATTTCACAATGGCAGGGAGAGGGCTCTGTGTACATGTGGGAGAACCGGCTGCCAGAACAGGGGAGCTTGTGTTTCTCTTCAAGTACCAGATTGATGTCTGGATTTTTTCCCCATTTCCTTTTTTTCCAATTGATGAGCAATGTTTTCAGTAAATGCTTAGAGACTGTTTTCCTATCTCAAATTGGCATAGCAACAGCATCAGAACAAAACTCATAAGCATCAGCTTAATGCCATACTGAAATGGCTTCAGAATTCATGACATGCTCTCATTTTTTTGAAGTGTAAGGGAAGGGACTACTGCACAGCACGGGCTGTTGGAAACCTTTCCTCCAGGCACATATTGAATGTCAGATGAAGATAAGCCAGTTAAATACTTATTTTTCATTAGTTTTATCCTTGTAAACATCTGTATGTAAACCAGTGAATTAACCCTAGGATATATTGCACACCTGTGCAGTAGAAACAAGAAAATGAATTCAGTATTCTTTATGGCTTGGGTCAGATGGCGATCTTAACTAGAAAGTCCCAACCATTTATCAGTGCTCCAATTTTTTCAGTTAATAGAAAAAAGAGGTGTAAGAGTGGCTAGAGATCCCCAGCTTCACCTCAAACAAGCATCAAATATGATAATTTTATCTCCACACTACATGGTATAAGTGTTTCTTAATCTTGTCTTTTGCAAAAGATTTTGCTCTGTTCAATAACACTGTTGGATTAGCATTCCTGTATCCTAGAATGTCTGGATAAATAAGCCATGCTGAGCTCTCAGTTCATTGATTTTGTGAGGAGTAAACCTGACCTTGCTAATTTAAATATTAGTAGCAACTTACATAAATGACAATATTAAAAATGTCTCTCTTTTTAACAGAGTTTACAAGCAATTCAAAACAATATATCCAGACTCTCCAAGGTTGCTTGCTGTTATACTACTAGCAGATGTATGGGATTTTTCTACATCAGAGAAACTTGTTCTACATTTAGTTTGTCCCTGCATCCATGGTTCAAAGAGTCCTATGCATCTTGTGGATGTTACCAAAGCCTGAAGTGAGGCTTTGAGAGGTACAACTCTGCTCCATTAGTGTGGAGTTCTTTGCTACCCAAAGCCTTCATTATAAGCAATTTCCCCCAGATTTATGTGAAGGAAAGAACATATTTTTTTCAAAGTCAGTGAAGCCACTGGTGCACCAGACTGGCTTTGCCATCTACAGATATGCCTGGTAGATAGTGACATGCAAGGAAGAAAGCTTGAGACAAAAGCTGGAATATGGGCTGGAATTTCTCTTCCTCGCTGTGTAACTCACCCTGCCGCTCCAGAAACCTTTTCCTTGCTATTGCTTAAGAGCTGAGAAGTCTCACTTGCAGTCCCACTAGTTTTCCAGTCATTTGCGTGTGCGCCTTGTTCACAATGATCAGCAGCGACGATCCCGGCTGCCTCGAGCTCCCCGCACTGGCTCTAAGGGGCTCCCCGGGCAGCGTCCCCTCCGTCCCTCTCCTGCTGGCAGAGGGAAAAGCCCAGTTTCCCGTATGTTTTCCGGGCACCTCGCCGTGTCTCGGTGCCGTGGTGCCTCTCTGCGGCGGGCGGGTGCCATGGCCAGCCCCGGCTCTCTCCGGGAGCTCGGGAGCGCGGCTCGGGGGAGATGCTCCGGCACGGCGGGCAGGCGGTGGGCACCATCTCTGCTGGCCATCAGGATACGTCCCCAGCCTGAATCGTCTGTCTCCTACGGACACTCTCGTCTGCCTCCTCGATTTCTTCTCTCTGCTCTGCCCTTTTCCCAGCTTTCCCTAAAAACGTCCCGAAGCTGCACTTGCGGCTGTAACGCAAGGCGTTATTGCCTTTGCGGGGGGGAGAGAGAAAGCACCTGTCCTGCAGCACAAGCCCAAAAATTAGCGTAGAGAGCGCTGGGTGTATTTGGGCAGGGGGCCAGCAGCACCAGGAGCAGCAGCGGGTGACCGGGATGCTCCATCCCTAAGCCAGACTCGGAGCACGTTCCCGGATCCTGCGGGCTGCTCTTCACCCGCACTCCAACGACTCCAAGAGACAGAGAAAACTGCCCTAAAGCCGGAATTTATTAATGGGTTGTTTTAAACAAAGCATACCCTCCAGCAGCCTGTACCCAGGAGGGGCCAAGACCTACGTGCCTCAGATCCCCTGGCTGCAGATGCCTCGGTCAGGACATATAGAAAGCACCTTCACTGCAGGGGAGTGAGCCAAAAGGAGCTCCTCTGCTGCTTTTTCTCACCCACTTATTTTCACCTAGAAGATAAGAGGTTTTTTGTGTGGTTTTTTTGGTGTTTCTTTTTTTTTTTTTTTTTTTTTTTTTTTTTTTTTTTTTTTTTTGTATTTGGACTGGGGAAAGGCTGTTCTAAACGGTTATTTTCCAACAGGAAAACTTACAGAACTTTTGTTGTAACTTTTCAGATGAATTCTCATGAGGGAACAGAGTTTCTCTCTCTTTTTTTTTCCCCTCATTTCTGAATTCTTAAATAATTAGGATAAAATGACATTGTCACATGTGGAATTAATTGAATTAATGCTGCTTAAACTCTTTAAAACCTTCCTACCTAAATGAACTCTTTGCTAATACAAGCTGAATTTTTCTGCTCTCCAGGCCAACTTTTGCACAGTAAGTAAGAGGTATTTATGCATAGGGTGCCCTCAGTGTAATGGCCTTTATTGTGAGTTCTAATAAAAGGCTGCTCTGTTTCTGCTCCTTATTAGAACAACACTATAAATAACCTCTTTGTAATGAGGACTTGTTAAAAAAAAGCAAAACATTTTGCTCTACAACCTCCTGGTGCAGATTGTGCCACCATCTGGTAGATTTGGCTTTCAGGGTAGATACACCTCCCAGAACTGCATTCCAGCTGGGGTAGCAAAGAGTGCCAGAAGGTAAAAAAATGCAGTCTTGGGAGAAAAGTTATAAACTACCTGATGTAAACCAACACACACACACATAAACACCCAAACAACCAAACAAAGCTGCAGTTTTAATATACCTTGGGAAGGGTCCGTAGTGCTTACTGAAGCAAAATTCATGCTGATTTAGTTCTGAACTTAGTCTTTAGATTGGTGTATGTTATGCTTGTGGAAAAGAGCCTGGAGACATTGTTTTTTCCTACATTAGATTAATTTTACAGAAAGAGTGCTGTTGTGGGCAGTAATGGCACAATCACTCTTGAAGCAAGACCAGATACATAACTCAGTGACAGCAGAAAATGAAGAATTCACCAGTGTTGAGCAAAAGATGATCTAAGGATCTAATGCAGTTTTTATTTGGATGATAGCATATTTAGAGTTTCTATTTTCTTGCCTTTCTCCAGAAGATCTGAAGCAATACCATGCCTCCAAAAGGCTCACTCATCTCTTTCATGAGCTGCTTTCATAAACAGCACACATCTGTTTCCTTTGTAATGCTTTGGTTTTTCTAAGGCAGTCACTTAGTTTTCACTTTTCTCATAGGAGATGTACTTCATCTATTGGCATTTGACATATTTCCCATCATCATTCTGTTTTGTATGCTGTGAAAAAGCTCTGCTTGCAAGAAATTCCTACCATTTTTTCTCCCATGTCTTAGTCTGAGTAACTAACACCACAAGCATGCTTCTGTAGAGTGATTAGCTAGAGCACAGGATAAATGACTCCTAATGAAAACTTATGATTCAACAATTTCTAAATTTATTATTGTTTAATAAAGGAAAGACCAAGATAAATGACTTGTAGAGTAGATACATTCCCCACATTGAACAAGAGTGTTGTAAGAGTTTGAGAAAACTGCATATGAATTACAAACTCTGGTTCGGGTTACTACAGATTTATTGTAAGAAAACTGCTGTCTCAGGAGTTGTTTGCTCAGTCAGCACTGATGGATACATACTAATTTTTCAGTAGATGTTGATTGGATGGAAATGACCAGGAGAACTATGATTTTTTTTTCTGAATGTCTGTTATACAAACTACTACTTATACCTGAAACTTTAATTTCTAGTCCAAAGGCCCCAAAAAGCATGAGCCTCCAGGGGAAAGGTGTACTGTGAATGACAAAAATAGCCAAGAAAGAAGGCACAGTGGGTCTCAAGGATAAGCTGGGGATAAATCAGTCCTGGGAAGACACCCACAGACTGAGTGCTAGTGCCACAGAATTGCCCAAGCTAGAGCAATTAACCATCCAAAGAATTTGACTGCTAGATTCCCCTGAGGCAGGAGACAATGGTGCAAGAAGTGGTGGAAATGCTCACATCTCTAATTCAGCAAAGCAAGAGGACTCCTGCTGCCAGAGGACTTCTAATCTGTGGTTCTCACACTGCTTGTTTGTGTCTCCTCTGAGAAAGGCATTACAAGCACGTGCAAGCTGAGAAATATGGCATTCAGAGAGATCAGGCATTTGAGGGTTAAGGCTGCTCATGCAATTGCAGTTTGGGCTCTTACTGCTAATGCTTTTTTTTTTTTTATGACAACCTCAATTACTTAATCAGATAAGGACCTTTCCTGCAGTACTGCTGGCAGTGCTGTTAGTTGCAGTGTAGACCTTTCTGTCTGGTGAAAACTGAAGGTATTCTTTAGAGCTCCACCTGTCTCAATGTGATGTTGCTTTCCATGAGCAATTGATTTTTGAGTAGAGACAACCTTCAGACAACCACAAGAGGTTCTACTAAGCAACCAAAAAAATCAGGAGCATTTTAGTTTTAGTTTTTAAGGGTTTACTAGAAGGAAGGTCAGTCTCCTAGCCATATATTCACTTTAGAAAATCAGTGCAGTTCCACTGTAATCACAGACAGATATTTCAGCTGCCAGATTTAAAATGATAGGTGTCATGTAGGCACAAACAATATATGACAAATATCCTAAGTGTTTACAATAACTGTGAAGCATTGCCCATATCACAGTGTGTTAAAGCCTGTTCCCAGGGAGGAGAAACCAGCATGCAGCTGACAGCTGCTCCCTTGCTGAGCAAATGCTTCTTGCAGGCACCACAACCCTCGGCTAGCTATTTCAAAAAGGGAGATGGGGGGCCTTCATCAGAGTTAATTATTGCCAGGAAGAATAAGCTGCAGCCTTACTTTCCTGTTAGCCTGATTTATAAAGGCTTTTCTATTGCCATTTGTTTGCTTGTTTTCCACCAGCCTGCTAAAGTTTGCCAAGCTCAGTGAGGCAGGAAGAAGGGACTCAATATTTTGCAGTTGAGCTTGACGTTGCTTTCCTATAGCTTTTTCCATACGCTACTGTGGAACATGTTGAATTTGCATGCAACTGGTATTATTTTTGCAACTTTTTTTTTTCCTCCGTGTGGCTATTCCTCTATTTGCAGTGAGAAATAGCATGCTGCTCCACCAGATTAAACCATGGAGATGTGAATTAACACCCTCCACTTGATGCAGTGAGCACACTCCAGTATGACAAGCCACCGCTCAGCCCACGGGAATGAGCTTATCCCTCAAGCCTAATGCAGCCTAGGTCTTGGGCAGTCTCACTGCCCCACAAAAAAAGTAACTCAGTACAGTCATTGATACTAAAGAAAGAAAATATTTAAATGGAGGGTTATTTTAATTTCCAGAATATTACTGTGTTCCCTCCCCCCTGATGTTTTCTCGAATTTTATTCCAGACTCTCAGAGGAGGAAGTGTGACCGTGCATAATAATATAAAAATTAAACTATAGTTATAACCAAAAGACAGAAATACAAGCCAAAGTAATGCAAGGGATGAAAGGCCATGGTTCCTCCAACTGGATACCAGAGCACAGCAAGAATGCAGTTGTATGCTTAATGCCTAGTTGCAAGCCCAGCATCAGATACCAGAGCCCAAGACAACTTTGGGGGCAACCTGGGATTTCCTTCAGTCCTGCCACGTTTGGAGTATATTGGTATTTCTGCAGTTACGTAGAATAAAATACAAAGCAAGAACATGCAATCAGATAGCAAACGCTCACTGCCATGGGGTTTTACCTGAAAACAATGTTAAGTCGCGCTGTGTCTCCAGTCCCATCCCAGAAGTCATTAAAAAGAATAGTAATAATAAAATAAATTTTTAAAAAATATATGCAAACAGTCAAGTTTGCCCGGCGGTTACTGAGCAGGATTTATCACGTCCTCTTGAAGCACATGCCAAGAGGCTTTAGTGAATCGAGGCCACGGGGGCAGCCAGGGATGGCTGGGTACTGCCCCTCGACGGCAGTGCCCGGGCTGTGGGAGCCATCCCCGCAGCGGGGTTTCTGCTGGGTGGGGCACGCTGTGGGATGCGGGAAATCAGTGATCCAGGGAAGGCCACCGCGCAACCCGTCAGCGGCGGTCCCTGCGGGAGGGCTCGGTGCAGCCAGGGCTGTGCCTGTGACCGCCCGCGCATCCCGCTCCCGGCGCATCCCTGTCCCGGCGCATCCCGCTCCCGCCGCTCCCCCGCGCATCCCCGCGCACACGCCGCCCCGACACCTTTTCCCCCCAACACCCTCCCAGGCCGTCTCTTCGCCCACCGCCGCGGTCCCTCCGGCACCGCCCGTCCCCGGGGCTGGATCCCCCCGGCCGCCGCCCCCGCTCCCCCGCGGAGCCGCGCTCGGGCGCCGCCGCCTCCCCGCCCCGCCGCCG